TGTTGCCTTCCGTCCCATTCAGGGGCAGGGCAGCCAGTCCACCACCCACAGCCCCTCCCCATGGCTGGTCCCACCCCTGATCAGCCTGGCAACCCCAACTGGGGGCGGGGCCCACCAGCCAATCGCCTGCGGCCCCTTCCCCCAGCCGGCCTGGCCCTGATTGGGCCCTGATTGGGATGGGCCACCTGGCCAACCTCCCACCATCTCTTCCTCCCAACAGGCCCAGCTCAGATCTGCCCCTATTGTGCCAGTCTGGCTGGCCGGATCCCACCTGTGCACGAATTCATGCACTGGGCCTCCAGTTTAAATATAATACATTACTATGCCGTCTCCTCCCGACAGGCCTGGCCCCGATCCACCCCAATGCGGCTGGGCTGGCCAGACCTCACCCGCGTAGGGATTCATGCACTTGGCCTCTAGTAAATACATAAAGATGGGATAGTACACACCAAGCTGTACAAGGTCATCACCTCCTGGGAGGGCTTCAGGATTAAGGCAAACGAGGGGAATTTGGAACTATCTGAATTACTTTTATAGCAAGCCTGCATTTCTTTTTAAATTTAAATATTAAAGAGAAAAATCAAGTCTATTTCAGCCATTGCAAGGCACTGTGCTCTAGCAGCATGAGAGATGGTAGAAATTTTAGCTCTTTTTCCTAAAGGTAAATGTGGTGAAAACAAAGTACTTACATACGTAATATCTCAATAAAGCTGTTATTTTTAAAAAGTACTTACATTTCCCCCATTTAACCTTTGGATGAGGTAAGGTGAGGAACCTTCTAGAATGCTTACCGATGGTTAAACTGAGATGTGAGTTGTAATTGGATAAAAGTGTGAACAGAGATGGGAAGACAGAAACAAGCAGGGAACTTTGGGGCATGATAAGTGGAGAGCAGAGCGGTTGAGATCAGGGGCTCAGGGAGGCTCTGGATCCTGCTCTACCCCCACTAACTTCACACAAGCTACACGATCTCTTGGTGCCTCATTTCAAAAGGAGGAATCTAACTAAACCTGTATCATAGGATTTTGTGAGGATCAAAGAAGTGAAAACATAGAAAGTGGGTAAACCTGGTGTTCAGCTAATAAGAATTAGTTATTTTATGTTCAAATGGTGCAGGAGCGAGAAGAGGAGGGAGGAAATTACTTGGAAGTCCAGGGTACAGCTGGGACTGGCTATGTCAGGAGCCATGGAAACGAGAAACACAGTCGGATGTGGTCACAGGGACACAGGGAGAGGGGAGGGAAGAATGTGAAAATAACCATCGAGGTTTGAAGCCTGGAAGACCAAAGTGAAGGCAGCACTAAAGCTGAGGCTTGGGGCGACAACGTGGCTCCCCGAGAAAACTGGGCTCTTTCTGGGAAGGTCACGGACTTGTGGAATGAAGCCCCGAGCTAGATCTGCGTCCAGACCGCAACTGGAGGTGGACCTGGGAGCCTAATATTGCCTTTTATGCCCGAAGGAAAATGGCCACTTCATCTCCATCTACAGCAGACAAGTCCCCTGGGTGCCGAGCTCATGATTTCCACTTACGCACTAAAAATGTCTCAAACCATATTTTGAAAAGTATCACCTTCCTTAATTTCAAGTGGGGAATTCAGGAACAGATGGCTATGTAATGGCACGGATCTGCCAGGAAATCCAGGACAGCAAACTCAAGCTGCCAGGCAGCAGCCTGACCCCAAACTCTCTCTGGAATGGCAGGGACCCCTGGCACTGACCTGGTCGTCAGCGATGGCTTTAGCGAACCGCGCACAATCCAGCTGCAAGTAAATATCTGTCAGTTGGTCCAACAGCTTCTTTGGTTCAAAGCCGTATTTCTCGGGGTTTTCAACTTTCAGGTCACGGCACTTGGGACCACAGAGTTGCTGAAGATTAAAGTTCAGCATTGCAGCCAATCGGGGTCCAAGTTCCTAGGAAATCACAGGATAAAAGGGCAATTCATGCTGTTGAGACCAGTGAGAAGGACCAAAAACTCCCATTTTTGTGGAGCAACAAGAATTGGATGGATTCATCTTCAAAGAATCCCTGGTAAGTGCTGTGAATCATCAGCTGAAGGAAAACACTATATTCAAAAATTTTTTACTCTCCATTTCCAATCCCATCATTCTAATACTTAACAGAACGTTGTATGTTAGGGAATATTTAAAAATACCAACAAAAGGCAACCTTTTCCATAAAGTCATTCGTTTACTTATAAAAACAAGGATCATTCTGAATTTGTAAGAAACAGGTAAAAGAGGGAAAATTATTCGTAATTCCATCATCATAACGCAAGTCATAAGTTTTTGAATATGCTCTGTAGGCCATCGTTTTATGTTTTACTTTTGTATAAATTTCAAAAGTCCCTGGCAGTTCCGGCAGTGCACGCCATCCTTCACGTATCAGGCGCAAAGAGGAGAGACATGCACAGAAGCAGAAGATAAAACTTACATCTGAACAGTTTTAAATTTAGCCAGAAAGACAGAGCCAATGTAAGCAAAACAGCTGGAATAAGCAATCATGCAATAACCCCACGAGAGGACACAGCACCTACTACTGTTGGGCACGCTCTGCTGTAAGCAAACCTGAAATAGGGGAATCTGGCTGCGAGAGGGTAGGAGCAAACGCCGGCCCTGAACAAGGCGCTCTGAAAGCTCCCCTTCGGGTGCAAGGCTTCCATTAAATGCAATGACTGGATTTACACAAATTTAACTTAGTGCAGGAACCTGCTTTTCAGGAATTGACTTTTGCAGAAAGTAAAATACTCTGGTATTTAAATTAGGAACCTGTGGGATACGGAGGGAGAAGCATAGGAGAGAGTTGGAAATCTGTTTTCCTCTAGGAGCAAACGCGCCCTGAACAAGGCGCTCTGAAAGCTCCCCTTCGGGTGCAAGGCTTCCATTAAATGCAATGACTGGATTTACACAAATTTAACTTAGTGCAGGAACCTGCTTTTCAGGAATTGACTTTTGTAGAAAGTAAAA